CCATCAACAAAAAGTGAATGGTAAGATTTCAATTCATCAATACCCCTCCAAGTCTCGCAGTGTTTATAATTGAATTTATAAATGAATTTGGTATATGACTAGGTATTTATATTACTACTATGCAGTTTTGCACCATGTGGCTTTAGATGTCCATTATATAAAACTTATAGTGTTCTGGGAGCTCCCAAATAATAACGGTATACAGCTATTATTTGGGAGCCTCGAGAGAGCGGTTGACGCTACGTATCCGTCGCAGAGCGCCAAAACGACGGTGGTGACTTTGGCGATGGGATTGTTTATAGAAAGTTCCGAGTTCGAAAACTAGAACTGAATGATGCACATAAACCCCATAATTAGGTAAAACCCTCGCTTCATTAAAATATCCTCGCCTCATTTAAATATATATTCATTTAATGTGCATTATTGGAACTAATTGTGTCCTGGGAGCTCCCAAATAAGGGATTGTTTATAGAAAGTTCCGAGTTCGAAAACTAGAACTGAATGATGCACATAAACCCCATAATTAGGTAAAACCCTCGCTTCATTAAAATATATCCTCGCCTCATTTAAATATATATTCATTTAATGTGCATTATTGGAACTAATTGTGTCCTGGGAGCTCCCAAATAGTAGCGGTATAATACGGCATTTAATGTGCCTTGGGAGGTCATTGCATTAGTACGGCATGGCGCTGCCCTCAGCCCTAATATTAACCTTTTTTTGCGATTGAAAGACTCGAGCACGACTACAGCCTCCTTATGGCTGTGCTGCCCTGACAGAGCACTTCTTATAAAAGGCGCTCCCGAGATAACCCAATATTTATTGGCTAATTTCTCGCTATGGCGACCTCCCTCCTCTGCTGCACTTCATATTTGTGGGCTTCGCAATGATCGCGAGATGGCCACTTCTTGTCCACCCTTACTTGGAACTCTGACTTTCTTTTCTATTGTGTAGCATGTGTCTCACTTAACCATTTCGCTCACTGGAATGCCAATCTCTCGGTCTTCATTCATAAGCCGTCCACTACAACTGAAACCGTCCACTTATAATTTAAGAGAGTAGCTCATGACCTTTCTTGTGTACGTCATACGCTCGTACAGCTCATCACTATCCTGAGTGGATACTGCAAAAACAATCATTTAATGAAACAAAAACAGTTCATTCAGCATTGGTGTTGCGTGATCATAAAAAAAGAAAGCTATGAATTTATGGAACTCTCACTGGATACTTGAGCTCAAAGAGATGAAGGATTTAGTTGCACTCGATATTGTTTAAGCATTCCGGAACGCCTCATAATCTTTAAAAAAAATTGACCTCACTACATCAACCTCATAATGGTCTTTGCATAAATCACATGTAAAAAATTCCACGTGTGAAAATTCCATACTTCAAAAATAAAAGAAGCTGAATATGCGAGGATATTTGGTTGCATGGCAAGGGTTTTAACTAATTATGGTGTTTATGTGCATCATTTACTTCTGGTTTACATTTGATTGGACTCTGAACTCTCTATAAACAATCCCATTTTCATAGTCACGCCCCACCGTCGTTTTGGCGCTCTACGCCGGATACGTAGCGTCAGCCGCTCTCTAGGCTAGTCTCCAAGACCTTTGTACCCTAACGAAATTTAGAGTCGCCCCAGCTTCTGGTTATCTAAATCAGAAGCTGACGCGTCTGTAAATTTTCACTGGGATATAAGTGGCGCTCGTTCTGACTAGATTGGACTCTAGCAATGCCAGAATTTATGGACTTCCGGCCACTTAATAATAAGGTCCACTTCGTTATGAACGCTGCTATATACGCTACTCATGTGTAATAAGCAAAAATTCGTACAGCCTGTGAATCGAGTGCTTCCTCATTTTTATCCCTTCTCATCATTTCTCGTGTCTATCTAGTTTATGTTATGTATTAAACTTATGTGTAACGGGCCCTCGAAGTTTGTTTGAACCAGACGACACGATAACTACTTCGTAAAATAGTGACACTTGTTACCTGGGGGGATTTAGGTCTAAGGTTGAATATTAATTTAACGAATCGCGACTAGTCTTCAATTTCATACTATGATGCAACACGCTGTAAATTATTCCCGTAAATATAATTTTGTTATACTCACGCTATTTGTGATGGAAATTCATCAGCAACATAATTAAACGAACGATATTTCTTAAGGTGAAGTTGAACGGATCGGCTCGTGTAAATGAGATATTATTTAATATAGGCTTCGTTATTTTCTACGATTGAATTCATTGAGTAAATAGCGTTCTGTCTGTCTTCTTATTTGTACGGTGTTAAGTTACAATGCAATAACATGAACCTTTTTGTTAAATTTGGCTTATGTGCGAACGTATTACGAGATGAGATGAAATATTTGAGTTGTTGAACATAGTTAATTAGCAGTGCGATGTGACTGCAATTAAGAACCATTGAAGTCATCTGCTATATAGGCTTATATAAATAAAGAATTAAATCACAAAAATGAATAAATATATTCGTAAGCTCCTGTTAACCAGGAAATAATTCCACTATGCAAATATTGGTCGAGTTATATGTGGCCCATAAGTCCTGAAACAGCTGACAAGAACTAATCCACCCTTTATTGTCACTTGGATTTCACGTGAGTTCATATGGCGCTGCGGTATTAAGCCTGGCGCCTGTCCACAACCCCATTGACAATGTGAAGGTAATTCCCCTGCATTAGGTTTGTCTGGGGTACAGTAACTCTATTAAGGAAGCCTAGGCTCTGTCATCGCCCACACGATCAATATCGGTCAATCTGCACCGCTTTGTTTTCGGTCGCTTGTCGCTGACAGAATCGCATCGTAAGATTGAGACGAATGTGCCCTAATATTCGGCAGATACTAATTGCTTTGTTTCGAGTTGGCTGTTGTTCATTTGGTGCAGCACGGCCATCTGCTTCTCTTGTTCAGCCTTACTGAAAAAAAGACGCGGCATATCGACGTCTTATTTGCCGCCCATTGTGCGGCTCCGAGTTTCATTTGGAAATTGCTTTACCGGAACTTTTAATTACGTTGGGACGTAACGGTGACCATAACTTATTCTTAGTGCATTGTTTCTCAAATTCATTCGCGTAAATAGTTCAGATGTAATTTCTGAGACCTGCAAAGTATTGGCGAAGTTGCGGTGTTGGTGTTACTCTTAATCGCGCTCTTTGAGGAGTGCGATCGGACTTTCTCGAGGAGTTCACTCCCAATATACATTTTACTTAGATTTTAATATTAGAAGTTAGTAATTTTTTTAAATTGGTCAATAAATTTTTTATTGAATTATTAAAGATAACAATTATTACGAGGAACTTAATCTAACGCAGTTTTAAACTAAGTTTTCTCAAAAAAAATCTTTTATTGAACTTATCCCAAGTTAGATTAAAAAGGGTTATTAGACGACGATGAAAACTTCTTTCAAAACAAGGAATTAGATTTATTATCGTATCATAATGCGTATGCTGTTACTAAAACATAATTAGAAATATATTTCTGCGTACTTTTTGTAGTAGAATACATATGCACGCGCTTACTCGCGACGTGATTATATCTGTAATGCAAGATTACTTTCAGAACCCTGATAGAAATTTTATGAACAAGTACGAGAGCATGCAGATGTTATCACTTGTAGAAAGTTTCTGCTTATCCTATTATTAAGGAGGATAAGCAGGAGGATATTATATATATTATAATAGTAATAATTATAATTATTATCCTATTATTAAGGAGGATATTATTATTATTATTACGCCGCCATCATTTGGCGGCGTAATATTTGTTTTTCTATTATTTTTGTTGCTTGGGCTGCGTCACTAATTAAGATGTTATTTTTAATCTAATATTTACTACATAAACACTCAAAAATGTAAATGAGTTTACTTGGAAGTAGCCTAATCTGCAACTTTTGGTAAAGACAAGTAATGCAAATCTTGAAAATTAATAACCATAATTTTTCGATTGATTTAGTCATCTCTTATTCATCTTTGTAGAAACAAAACTATGTTTATTTATGCGTATCACGGTTTTTACATCGAATAACTTTTTCGAGTTTTTTTCCTATCCTGCAATATTTCTCAAGCTGCAATGGATAGTTCATCCTCTATTTCTATCTGCACATGCTCGTCTTGTTTAAATTTTCGTCCTAGATTATAAAGAAAAGCTCAAATTTTTTTGCATTATTTTGAAATTTTGCGACAACTTTAGAAATCCGCCTTTAAGAAAGCAAATCTTCTAAAGTGAATTAAATGGGTGAATTAAATGAGGCTGAGCGTTTTTCTGCAACTCATTATATTTTTGTTATGAAACTAAATTTCGTTCGCTGTGCTGAACACTTGGTTTAGATAATAATAGTAAAAAGATAATAACGTACGCAGCATTGAAAAGCGAAGAAACGAACTCGCGTACTTATTTAACGCGATCTCGCATTCAGTACAGGGGTTGGATAAACAAATGTTGGGTCAGTGGATGTGGTGGTGTTTGAAAAGAAAGTTAGAAATTGTATATGAATCGTACAAGGAATATTGCAGCCTAACGCTAATGAAACTCAAAGTTTCCTAAGATTAAAGCTCCTTTTAATTTTTAAAGAGATATGCATTCATGAAGACGACATTTTCTGTCATATCAACCATTCTGCTTGTGTTCAAATAGCCGGGCTTTATTTTTGCTGGTTTTGCTAAAATGAAAATCCTCATTCCATCTCAAAATTAGACTCAGTTTAGCAGTGCAATCTAATACACTTTAGCGGCCGTCGATGTTAGTAATTTTTGATCGAATCTCCGTATTACTGATAATTTGTTTGATTTTCGTATTTTTTTCTTTCTCATGACGGAAGACTGATCTTTGTGTTTATCGTTACCTGCACTAATACGAAAGATAAAACAACGAATTTTCACATTTTTGTACGCGATTTAAGCAATATCAATGTATTCTACAATGTTTTACATTTTATTACACTCCGATCAAGTAAAGCGTGTAGCTAATACCCCTTTTGTTTTCCAGACAACTTCACGACAACAACATCCACACGATCACCGCTGGGTCGTTCCGCGACCTGCAATCCCTCGAGAGAATGTAAGCATTTATCAAATTATAGAGTAATTAGTGGAACTTGCGTATGTTCTGATCGTAGACGGAACTTTGTTCTTATATATTGAGCCTCAAGTTGTTTAATCTAGCGTTTCTGCATGTAAAGACGGTATAGATTCCTTGCTATTATACTCGACTCTGATGTGCTGGCTTAGGCAAAATTGAATTTAGACTATTTATTTTATATATTCTATTAGTTAATATATTCTATTATATAATTAGTTTCTTTACAATATGAATATTACAGCCAATGTTCTGAAATGAGCGTTAACGCAGCCGAATAATTCTTTTGGTATTCGCATGCATTCTGCGATATGCTCGTCTCAAGAGAAGCCATAATTCATAGATCATCATCATGAAAGCGTGAGCTAAATTTAATTAAAGTTAGATTAATGAATAAATGAATCAATTGTGTACAGGTTAACAAAAATTAGGTATAAAGTTTTATTCATTTTTCCTTGGACACAACTAAAAGAAATATTTTAGTTTTAAACGTTTAAGATTTCCCGTAACTCGAATATTACTGCTCAAAAACATTTTTTCATGTCTGACCACGTTGTTGAAATTTCATCTAACGACAGGCAATTGATACTAAACATTTTAATATCCATCTTTATTGTAGATTACCACACAGGAATACAGTATCTTTTCGGTTTGCTTTTACGAATGTACGTTTTGCATAATCACGACTGATTGCCTTGCTAAATAATGCCGTTAGATGTTCATTACCGTTCTCCCATACTGTAAACGGTGGGACGGCGTCTAAAAAGAACGGTCCACTGCGTATTTTACCGTTCTTTCGAACAAAAAGAGGCCTCGAATTATGGCGTGTCTAAACTTGAATTAAAAACTGTACTCCGGTTGACTTAGCATGGAAAAACGCCAACTGTTCGCCAAATGCAAAATTCGTTTCACGGACTCGTTATTATGAAAAAAACATTACATTTTCCAATCAAAAATACAAGCCAAGTGTATTGTAATATGTAGGTTTAATTGTATTTGTTCTCATCCGAAACCTACAGTAATACACGTGACCATCGCGTATCACTCAAGCTTCGCGCTAAGAACACGTTATATATAGCATATGTGGACATAACATCTAGAATTTCACACCTCCAGACTCAGAACAACAACAAATGAATTAACTTGAATAAGGAATTTAGGCAGATAATTGATTTTATCATGAACTGCTGTATTATCATGGCAAATAAAACCTAAGGAAATGACAAAAAAGCTTTCATTATTTTGGTCTATGTTTCGGCGACCAGAATCGAAGCGTTTCGATTTAAATTATCTTATTGCGTGTTGAAATAATTCACAAGTGAAAATGACGCACTTGTTTCACCCCAAGCTGTACCTATCTGAATATTATATATGGCGACATCACGAGGCGGCGGATGACATTTGTTAACCATATCGTTGTTGTTTGTGCCGTAAGTCGGCTTTATAAATAATAATCGCTTTGTAACAAGCTCGTAAGGTGCGAAGCGTAACACCACAAGCCGCTGTCATCCGGATCAGAAATTGCAGTATTGTAGTCGCGTTGTTATGTGCTTGCTTGTGTTTACCGATTGCAAAATTTTCATCTTGTTTTTTTTTTGCATTAATGGAAGATTTTTAAGTTTTCAAGTCAGCTGTCGTATATAGTGAGAATATCATTTAGCATTTCAATTGACAGGCGTTGATTGTTTTGTTTTGCTTTGTTGTCCTATTTTATTACTTTCTTTAGACCTGATAAATACCATTTCAGTTTACGATATATTACAGCGATGTTTTTGTGAATGATTATCTTTTACGGAATAAAAATTTATGAAAGAAAAATCATTTGCAAAATTACTCAATTATGTTACTTTATTTCGGCGCTTATTCTTAAATCAAGAATGATAATTTTTATTTTTCTCTCACTGAAGAAAATATTCGGGATTCCTTGCGCATCTGTCACTCTTCTGAAACCTCTTTTCTCTTACTAATTCTTTTAATTTTTACATTTGACTAGCATTTGAAACATTTTTTTCTTTTGCTAATTATTTTAATTTTTCCATTTGACTAGCATTTGAAACATATTTTTCTCTTGCAAATTCTTCTAATTTTTCCATTTGACTAGCATTTAAGTTATTCACGTCACGTGCACAGGAGTTTATTAGCGGCCATGTGTTAGCTTAGGACGGTTTAGCTCTCACTCCAGCCTACACTCCAGTCGCCCCTCAAGTGCCACTCCTGCCGTGGCTCCCAGGGAGACTTGGGCTCAAAAAATCTCCAACCTCGTGGGACTTCTTATGTTGAAACTCGGCATTTTGCGTAAAAGCCTAACCTTCATGTCAACGAGTACATTACTGTCGGCAATGTTACTCGTATTTATCGGCAATGTTATTAGTACACGTATTTACCGGCAATGTTATTCGTATTTACTGGCAATGTTATTCGTATTTTGCAATGTTATTCGAATTTACAAGCAATTTTATTTATATTTACCGGTAATGTTATTCGTATTTACCGGCAAAGTTATTCGTATTTACCGGCAATGTTATTCGTATTTACCAGCAATGTTATTCGTATTTACCAGCAATGTTATTCGTATTTACCGGCAATGTTATTCGTATTTACCGGCAATGTTATTCGTATTTACTAGCAATGTTATTCGTTACGAGGGTTACCTCCAGAAGACGAAGTGTTATGTAATTTCTTATGATATATTCATAATTGAATAACTTGTGTTACTCGAGAAATCGGTTAAACGGAGTGGATCGATCCGGTAATCCGTTCATGTTTTATGTAGTCGTTCATTCTCAATAATTTCTGAGACGACATTTTTCTTAACAATGAAATGTTTTGCCGCTTAGTATTTTACATAACTTATAGAGTTTATTGTTATGAACTCATAATTGAAGGAAAATTATTTCCCTTAAATACATTTTTAAACTCTCCCTGACATTACGTTAATTTGCGATTTATCAGCTAAAACTGAAGAGACCTTCTCTTCTTGATATAACAGTCCCGGCGACCACATCAAATTGCTAGTTAATGCTTCATCCAAGGCTAATTTTTTTTGCCGAAAATTTCCGCTATGTTTAGATATTTTTTTAAATTATGTATGACTTACGACTGGCAAGCCCGTTATATAGAGCTGCTTGGTAATGAGTGGATGCTGGGGAATTTTAAGAAATATTTGTACCTTTTACAGTTGTGAATGCACATGTTAATAAAGTACATGCGTTTCAATATATTTCATTATTTATCAACTACTTCAAAGTATTCTGTTATACATAAAGCAACTATGTACTCTAAGTTGCATATTTCTATCTTTTCTAGGCGTTTTGTGCATGAATGACTCGCGTCGTTCAACCATTAATTGTGAAAAAATAGGTGCGTCTCCGTGGGTGCAGTTTTATGATCACATAAATAATGAAAGGAGCAGAGGTCAAATAATGGCTTAAATTGCAATTGAATTGAAAATGTAATTGTTAAGAAAATGTCTAGAGAACCCACCATATTTTCATTGAAAACGTTTGGAGACCACCTCCATCATCATTAGTTAAAGAATTCAGTAATAAGATTAAATCAATTGTTAAGGCCAAAATGCCGTGTAAATTTAGTGCTCACTACTGCCTGCACTTATGTTATTGATTTTTTTCCCGAAACCTCTAAATTTTAACTTGATGGATCTCATGAATTTTTTTGCTAGAAAATTTTTCGATAATGAATGGTATTTGAGAGTCAATGTATTGCCAATATGTTGGAATCCCGAGCGTCGACCTCGATTATTAGTCCTCCAGGGGCCAAATAATTGATGGCGTAACCTCCTAAATTTTTCGAATCGATAGATGCTCATCACTACAGGGTAATCGAACCTCCCTGATTCGCTTCTACCGGCCACTTCTTAGCCGCAGGCCACAGGCCAGCCTTCCGACACTGAACCTTTATCTTGGGTCGGTTATACATCGCTTTACAAAATATACAGGGTGAAGCCGGGTCCACATACATCTTGTAGTACAGTTGAGGTCTACTATAAATGGTAGGAACCACTACGTGCTCCGAAGATCATCCTGGGGATGATGATCATATTCGTGCTCACTGATCTCCTGTTCGAGATGTTTACCTTTTGACATCGAGTGATGTTTGCTCCAAACACTACAAGATGCCTAGAGCCCTCAGCACTTGTGCTCAGCGGGAAAGTCAATTCTATCAGAGGCCCGTCGAAATATCGCCGTTGAAATGTTCTTAAATAGTTGAGGTCTTCATCTTCCCAAGAAATTCTGTCATTGAGTATTGTATTCAAACCCGTAATGAGATATGCTGTCGATATACCACTGAAAGTAAAACTTTCATGGTAATATAAATAGTTACAAAATATTGCCGATCAGACTTGATGCTGAAATTTGATATCTTCGCCATCAAATTCACTGATCAAAACGCGGTGTCAAATTTTGTATTGCGCTTCGTTGATATTTGTCTAATCCGTCATATCTCTATACTTCTGAGCTGCAACTATTTTTCGACCTTTTTTTTTGTCACCGATAGAATCGAAAGTTGTTAACTCAATATACCTCCCGTACAAATTTTCCCCAGAGTCGGTGTGCAGGATTTCCTCCATTTTATTCGAGCTGCCGCGTTGTTAATTTGTCCATTGTTTAGGATTGGAGTCGTGACAGGAGGCACAGCCAGCCAGGCATCCTTGCCATGGGCGCTGGGCACCGTGGGTAGGATTTATGTCGAGTTATCGGGCCGGGCATCGAAGGCTTCATTGAATATTAGGGCGCGCCCACTGCGCTATTACAGACCGGGGTAAGTGAGAGCTCAACATCACTGCATGCCGCCGTCTAACTTTCTTGTTAACCCATTACGATGAAGTGATCGACTGAAGCGTGGAAAATACTCTTCAAGGGAGAAGTGACCTTCCTAACATAAATGTATGGCAGAATTGCAAACTTGGTGATAAGGTTGGATGGTGATTAACAAATTCTATGTTGGTAGATGATTTTGAACTCTTAC